AGGTCATTATTCAGAATCTTGCCCCCTGCAGAACTGGTGCTGTGCCTGGCTATTTGCTTTTTCTTTCTCTTCATTAGCTTTCAGTTCACAGGTGCTACCACACTAACACAATACACCAACACAGCTTCCCATTCATGTGGTATCACAGACACAGATACTCTTTACTTTCTCCATTATTCCTTTACTTTCTATTAATCTTCTGTATCTATCACCCAGCCTGCTCTCCTCAATTTGGTGTTTTCTGATCATTTCCAAATTCTGGATGTTCCCTCTTCTATCTCCAGCACTTTGGGAAAGCTCTTCTCTGTTGTTTCAAATCCCATCTCAAAAACCTTCCTGTTCATTAATGCTCTTTCTAATCTCCTGTGTCTCTTCTCTTGTTCTTGCAAATGTAGTAATTTGTTTTCCTGCAGGGTGGATTTGTTTGTTTTAGTTACTCTCACCCAGCACTTAGGATCAAAGAACTATATAATTTAAAAAAAGATGTCCTAACAATGTGAAATAAACTCCACTTAGATAAGTACTATCTTAAGATCACATGTAGACTCACATCATCTATTTACATGGTTATTTCCCAATTGTTTAGGTTTTAGAAGCCTAAATACAGATGTGAGGTGCCCAACTGCTGCTTTTCAGACTTGAGCTTAGATTGTATCAGAACCTGGTTTTAGATGGATAAAGAAAAAACCCCAAAACCTTCTGACACTCATAAAAAGCAAACCCCAGCAGAACCCCTAAAGGTCATTTTTTAGCACTATCCCAAATCTTAAGGATTTCCTGGTCAGTTTATATGTGATGCTTTATCTCTGGCCAGAAAGCACCACGTCATCTCAAACCTCCTCCTGTACATTACTGCAAGGAAGGCTGATACAGTTTTGTCAGGAGATTGAAATCTCCTCCAAAGGTCTTTGATCTGGGAGCACAGCCACATCTCATGACTAATCTTCCCATAGGTCACAGGCCACATCACCCTTAGACTTATTTGCATCCAGGCACTTGCCAGCAATATCCCGTTTTCTAATTTAGGAAGTACTGATGACTATACATGGGTTTGGGCTCATTCGAATTCCTTTCCTCTCCACTCTCCACTACATTAGCAATTCATCTCCATGCATGTTTGAAGGCTGGACCAAAATTTGTCTCTCAAAACAGACAAATGTCATTGTTTGCGCTGATGTCTGCTCCATGAGTAACTGTGAGAGAATGTACTAGGGCTGGATTACCACGCCAGTCCTGGTTGTTCCTTCTTTAGATGTTTTTACCTCACCTTCACAATCTCAAGTATGGTCTTTCCAATTCTACAGCTCACCTTTTCCTCCTGCTTACAGGCCCAGTCACTGTTTCTCACTGAGGGGCTTCTTTGCTCCCCTTGACAGTCAGTCCCACCACTGCTCTCAGCTCCTTTTCACGTCCTTCGCTTTAGATGTCCCAGCTTACTTTGAACTCAGCCAAATATTTTCATTTCCCTTTCCATCCATCCAATATTTTTCCCTTTCCCTTCCAGATTAAATTCCCTTGCACACAGATGATTGTTTTTCCCTCTCCAAAGGTCATCCAGAAGGTGGTTTCATAACCAGTTCAACCATTGATGGGCCTTACAGCGCAGTCCTGATTCTCTTACGGATGAGATACAGAAGAGTCATGTGAGGGATGCACCAAGTGCAATGTGGGGTCTGACTGCCTCTGGGCTCCCCAGCAAAGTAAGGGCCTAAGAGATTGTCTCCAATCCAGCAAGCTGCTATCAGTCTGTACTGCCTCCAGCCCAGCCTGGCTCATCACACAGCAGCGAGGAACACCAGCCAGCGTCTGTCTGGTCAGCCTTACATATGAGAGAAAGGAATGCAACCTCCTTCCGCCGCCTTCCGTCCCCCAGCTCCCCAGCCCATGGTTTTCTCGTTTCCATGCACTGCAGTAAATCGCTTTGATCCAGCAAGTGGCCTTTGCATGTGCAAGTTGGGTGACCAGCCCGCATCTGCCTCCCTGCCTGCAAACTCCACTCTGAGAGCTCTTTGTCTGTCAGGGCACTCACACCCTCTTACACAGAGCCCACACTGGCAGGCTGCTCTTGAATGACATACTAACAAACTACCAGCCAAAGGAAAATATCTCGCAATCATTTCAGACCCTCTGGCTCAGCCACTGACTAAGCCAAGTGGCTAAAACCCACTTGCCCCGCCCCTTAGTAACCCCGGGTGTTTTTTAGCCATTGGCAGTGCTGGCTGCATTCGCAACCCACAGCACACTCAGCTCAGAGATGAAAAAAACAAAGCACCGACAGAGAAAAGGGCTTCTTGTCCCCAGCCCTGAAGGCGTGCATGGGAAGGGAGGCAGCCCTGCTTTTTATAATTCAGTCCTGAATTTCCTTAGCTATTCCTCTCTGTTCCTCTCTTTTACCCGGTCCCTGAGGGGGGACCCCACTGCAGAGGTCAGCATGAACAGATTTAATGTCTTGATTGCACCAGCTCTGATTTAAGGCATCCAACTGTCAGGCTTTTTCTTAAGGGAACAGAGCACTTAAACAGGATGAAGGGGTCAGAATGACTTTGTGCTCTGGACAAAAATAAGCTAGTTAGTGAAGCCTATCACAAATACCCCTTGATTCACTTAGATTGCTCCCAAGATGTAAATGTTCAAAGGTATTTAGACATTCTGCTTTCCACAGAGAAAAATGGGAGCCAGGTGCCTACCTGCTACCAGGTTCTGCATCAGAGATGGATTTTAAAAACAAGGCTGCATCCAGTCCTCATCACAAAATGAAACCATGCCTTCTACACAGCTATGCACAGCTAGGATCACATCATGTGCAGGATGGTTATATGGCTGCAAAGACAGGAGAGGTCCTTATCCAGGTTTGTATTCCCTCTAATCTTTTATCTTCCTGCTTTCCTAACAACCTATGCTATCTGCTTAGGACTTGGTGGATGGAATAGGAACACTCCCATAAACTAGTACATGGTTTAGGAGCTGGTTAAACCACCGATGGTTCAACTAGCAAGATCAGAGGGGTAGCTGCACCCGCTACGTGTGGTGCTGGGAGTGGGAGGCATGAGCAACTGCAGTTTCACCATATGACAGAGGTCTTCCCCACCTGACAGCAAAGGTGGATTTGCCTTTCTCACCATGTTGAGTACTGCTGTGGATGGGCACGTGCCAATGGCACAATGTACAGCCTAAGGCTATTCAACAGAAGTATCACAGGGCCAGTGAGAAATGTTTCTCATCATGTATTAACTGTAAAACATAAGATTTCACAAAAAATTAAACCAGAGCTAAGGCTGGGTTCAAAAGCATGGAGAATCTTGTGAAATTCTGACTCCAGAGGATGGCAGTGTTGAAAGAGTACTGTTTTTTCCAAGTGCTCTCTCAGGACTCCTTGTCCACATCAACACCCAGTGGGTAACAAATCCAGAAAACTCCACAAGTTCACCCTTCCTAGGTGAGCATGTCACACCCCTAATGTTGGAAAGAGCTGTGTAAGACCCATCACTTTCAGCTCCAAGAGGAACACAGGGCTCACATCTGAACAGATAAGGTCTCTCACGCTCTGCATTTGTGCCTTCATGGGGAGCCCCACTGCCTGCTGGAGGGCCTTGGCTGGGACATCCCCCCTGACAGCACCAGTGGGGGTGAGCCTCATAGCAGCACTGGTGCTACGAGGAGCCTCCTGACCACGTTGCTGCAGATTTTAAAACAACCGCACTACTTTCACTGGCTTTCAAATCACTGAATCACAAGTGAGGTCACTCCTGGCAAGGTGGCTATCCCCAGTAAAAGCACCAGAAAGCCCATATAAAAAGATCAAAACCAATGTTTTTTATGTCTTAATATGATTTATACTTCAGACTATGTAACTTTTACAGGGCTGCCTAGTATTTGATGGATGCAGCTCTCTTAACAACCCACATATTTGTTTGATTTACTGCACTGGTCCAACATGTTATTTTCTACCTTGCAAGAACAACCTCGCTTCTAGAGTCTGCCTGCATGATAAGACCATGAATTAAATGTGCAGTTATCGTAAGAGACCACACATTTTACAGTAAAATTGGGAAAACTGATTACAGCAATCCCTCTGGAAACAAGAATAATCACATGATAAGACAGTGCTAATGGGAATTTATCATCTCTCATCACATGTGAAGCTTAGAACAAAGCAGCAACGCACACGAACTGCACAGCTATTACTGCCAATGAATGCGAGCTGAAAAGCTGCTGGGGACTATGAAGAAATGACAGGAGAGTGAGGATCCTGAACAGGCAAACCTAAGCCAATTCAGTATGCTTCAAGAAGCTTACACAGTGGAGCTTATATGCAACACTAGTAAATACTACCCAAAATAGCAGTCTGACATCTTTCCATACATTCTATTCCCTTTCTACCTTCATCATTCCATTCAAACTCCACGTCATTCCTTCATTTGTTCTCACTGTGTCTTATCACCAGAGAAGCCCAAGATCACGAGTATCTCAAAGGTACGTGTGTCTCCACACCTCCATGTCTGCGTCTACACACATACTCTCTCATGCACACATTAGTCCTGAACTGCGTATCTCAGATCTTAAGTACATTTTTCTCTTTCCCCCACAAAAAAAGGCAACAAAACCTACCCACACTATTCTCCAGTTGAAGCAATTAACACTTGACTAAAATTAACATTTTTAAAGTTGTCTTGGAGAAGTGAGTGCCAAAAACCCAAACTGGCATGCCCACAGTTTTAACATGAACATCTATATCCCTTAGCTATCCTAAAATTACTCTACATCAAGCCCCATAACACACTGAAATCCCAGCAGGTTAATGGTAGACATTGAACTTCTCTGTCCTACTGAATAATGGGTACATTTCCTGGCCTAATATATTATTCTGCTGCCCTGTTTCATAGACAGAAGCTTGGACTTTCAGAAGAGATTTTTTTTTCCCCTTCTAAATGAGAACAAAAGCAGATGGTTACGGTTAGGTGGCAGGAGGACAAGATGAGAGAAGCATCCTACATAAGTACCTGTATGAGTCCTCTGGTGAGCCTTTAAGTGGGAGCTCTTTGTATAAACCTTCCGGCACCCATTAAATTGACAGCGATGAACCCTCTTCTTGTTTTCTGGGGATGCTTCTGCCCCTGTACCAACGTGCTCACCGTCACTTTGCCCAGTTTTTATTGTCCCCGCGGTTGCTGTCACTACACCCACTTTCACGGAGCTGAGTGAAGTTTTCTTGGCCACCAGTTTCAACGTCACCGTGCCATCCACCGCTGAGAGAGTCTGTGAGGTTTTTACAAGGTGGCGGCTGAGCTCTGGGGAGGAAGGGGGTGTCAATGAGGTTACTGCATTGAGTTGGGCCTGGTTGACAGCTGTGTAGCCTTCTGTGGAAGAGCTGGTGGACTGCAAACTGAGGCATGTCTCAGACAGCAGCTTGTCCCGTGAGAGAATAATGTCCACATTGGTGCTTTTGTCACACGTACTTGTCTCCACAGGTAAAAGGACGGGGTCCAGCCGTCGGATATTGTCCTCTGCATCTGGGGCTGAGGCGGCATGAAGGAAACAGTCCAAATCCTCACCAAAGGTCTCAGAGATCTTCCGCGGTTCAGTCTGAAGGTATCGCTCCAACTCCAGGCATGTCTGCAGGAGGGAAAGGGAGAGGGGAGGGAGAGAAACCACCATTAGAGAGAGGTTACAGCACAGCTCCCATCTACGGCCAAAGAACAATGTGGTCTAGAGCCATTCAGACAGAGCACTCATGCACACCAGCACCTTTTTGTGAGATGGTCACATTTTTGGAGACATGAAGATTTGGCACTTGTTTGATGCTGCTCCAAGACAGAGTATGGGAATATCCATGTACGGTAGCAGATGTTATAGTAGGAGTGAAGATATGACAACCAGAAAGCATCCACTACATTTTCATGAAAGCCCGCACATTGTCCCATGGATACCAGGCCCTTCCCAGTTTTAAGTGCAATCTGGCCAACAGTCACTTCCGTATGAAACTATCCTAAAGGCTCCATTGCCTGGCCACGTACAAACAAAAAGTCACCTCTCCAAAGAACTGCTTCCTCTTCCTTCACAAACATTAACTTTCACTCCAAATTTAACTCAGTGTGGTTGGCTGGGGCCCAGTCTGTTCCTAAACCAGCAGAATTCTGAAGCGTAGCATTTTAAGATAGGAGACAGATAAAAACTTTCAGTGACACCACAGCTTGTTTAAAGGGCCTGAAAGAAGGAAAGACATGACACCAAAAAGGGATCTGCTGTCAGTCTTACAGGGTTTTTAGCGGGTCTGGTCAAATGGAGCTCACTGTGCACAGGACACCAGACTTGCACACAAACACACACATGCATCTTATTAAAAAGTAGGTAAAGCTGCAGTCAGAGAGGCTGCCACGTGTTCCTGCATTTCCACAGCAGTGATTACCAGCACGAGGATGAAATAAGCCTCCTAACTTCAATGCACCTTACTTTGAGATGCCCCAAGCTATCCCCAATAAAGTCTCCAGGCACTATCGCACTGCCCAGTGTTCTCCATAACCAACATTATAAACTTCTATTGTTTATAGAAAACCGTTTGCTGTAGTTTCAGGAGCTTTTAATGGAGTTTATTAGTGCTATTTTTCATTTCTTGCTTCCTGAAAGGCTAGCTGGTGTAATATCACCACTGTGATTTTAGAGGACTTGAAGAAAGAGACATTCTAGCCAATACTTTTTATAAACCTCTAAGAACTACTCCTCAGAGAACACTTCTAGAGATATAAAGAAAGTGATTTTAGGCAAAAAATTTCAGCCTATGGGGGCTGGTGACCCAACTACGTCCCAACCTTGAGAGTCCAGCATCTGATCAAGAGACAAAAGCTTTGTATGACTGGAGGAGACACAGACACTCCTGCCTTCTGTGTACAAACGTCCCACCAACACGAGTGTAAAGAGACCCTACTCACAGCTCTCTATAAGCGGTCAGATAATTGAAGATTATTACTTTCAGTGTACTCAGGAAGCAGCACTGCTGGTGGCAGACATTATGCAGTGGGATGACTTTCAGAGTTCACAACAGAATTTGCCAGACAGTTATCTGTTGTTTCTTTTAAAAATAATAGCTGATTATAGACCTGAGCTGTAGAGATGGACTTGGACGAAAAGCAATAGAGCAGCAACATATGCAAGTGAGACATGTTATACTTTAGCATGTAGGTTATTTTCAGAGGCATGACACTGTGTGTACGATGTGTCTGCACACAGGCCTGGAGGTGGAACACTCACCAGTTAGTACTTGTCTTAATCAACCTTTCAATTTTCTTTTTAAAATACATTTCTGGGATCACAAGGAATGGCTTTAGCTGAGGATCTGGTCTCTACCCAGATGAATCCTAACAGGTTTTGGAAGCAGCTTTCCAATGTGTCCCACAATCTTTCAGGAATAACCCCCACCACAGGAAAGGTGATGCTTTTGAATTCCCCACATCATGTAATTTGGGCTGCTTGGCCCACTTAGCCTTCACCCAGTGGGGCAGAAACAGGTCTATGGGCCTAATAAATAAAAGGCTTCCAAAGGAAAGAGCAAGCATAATCACAAACTGGGGGTGGAAGGGGGGAGGGGGGAAGACAGGGACTCAAGGCCATTAAATCTGATGACAATGACATGAAATTTCAATTGCTGTGGGATCAGAAAGCTGCACGCCGGCTGCAGGCTGCCCATGGAGGGGAGGCAAGCAGGAGGTGCTGCTCCTTTAAGGCATCACTACCCCATGACAACAATAGTGGGCCTGACAGTTTCTTCCAGCTTCACCATTAATTTTCCATAAAGAGCAGTTTCTCGATGAGCCCTTTTCAGCAAAGCCTGATGCTTCAGAAACCTGTAATTATTCCTGGCTCCCCCCTCCCGCAGCCATTGCACCTGTGCCATTTCAAGACACCAGCTGGTCATGTCTTGCCTTCTGCCTCTGAAATCCAAAACCAGTGGATCAAGCCCATCTCCCCATAGAGGGGGGAAAAAAACAACTCAAAGAAACAATATAATGCAGTCCTTCCCTCCCGCCTCCCTCAGCCTCTCTACCAAGTCAATACGGGGAAGAGCCTAGCAACGCTGAGCCAGAACAGCCCTCCACCTAATCTGCATGGCAGACAAAGCCCGGCGAGGGGTTACAGCCACAGACCTTCTTTAACCCCCCACCAGGGCCCTACCTGCTGCTGCATTTGCTAGAGCAGGCAATTGCCGGCAGAAACAAAGCATCTTTCCCCATATGCACTTCCCAGCTTCTGCCAAGTACCTCACGCGACCTTCCTGGCCCAGATCACCCAAGGAGTGCCCAAATCACCCTGGCAAAGCAATCTTTAGGGCAGCTAAGCCAAACCCCTCATCTTGAGTTCTGACCTGAAGAATCCAGCCAGGCTGACACCACCAAGGTCCCCACTCCAGCCTGGTGGACCATCAGGAGGGGCAGGAGAGTCCTTAGGTCTCCCTTCCCACAAAGTTCTTTGCCAGCAAGTGCATCAAAACCTACATTTTTGTGTGTGTTAGCAGCAGGATATTGATCACTATTCACAGAGCTATGAACCCAAACTGCTGGATTCAGATGATGGTTAACCTCTGTAATCTCCTACTTCCAATAGCAGCCTGGTAGGAAAATGGTCCAAGGATACCTAAACGGGAGTGACCTGCTCTTGTCATGCTGTTGTCATAGTTCTGTTGGATGTCCAACTTGTCCTTAACCACTCGTGCAAGAGATGGGGAGCTTTGTGTAATGGATGTAATACATGTCACATGTGACATCAAGTCTGACTACCCTTTGTTTCCTACACTGCAGGCAACTTGGTGGGTATTCAGCTTTCTTACCCAGTGCCTGTAGGACTTAGAGCAACAAACACTTCAAAAATTGCAATGGAAAGAGGAAGATGGCTCCCTTCAGCAACAGAAGAAGAACCGTAAAATTGCTGTTTGCTGTCAAAACAGTTTTGCAGTCCGGGGATAAAAAGTGACCCACTACTTCAACCCATCTGCCCTTATTAAGGAGGGTCATTCTCCTTGCACCTTGCTCTTCAATTTAGCCAGTTAAAAGATGATGATTCACGGCTGACGAATTACAGAATGTGACTTTGTGAGACCCCAGGTACTCGCAAGAAAGGATGGCAGCCTGGAGTGTGGACAATCTCAACAAGGGATTTTTCAGTTTTGGATACAAGTGCAAAAAGGTTCACTTTTCCAGCAGAGGCACACTGCTGTAACCTGCAAGAAATGTTGTGTGTTTTCCTGCCATGCACTTGTAACTCGTAAGGTCTCTTTGCTCCCCACATTATACTGTCATCTCAGTCCTCTGGGACACGTATAGCAGCAGAATACGTGTAAACTGCACACTATGCCACTTCCACATGCAGCGCTAGAGCCTTCAGACAGTAAAAGACAACCAGTGTAGCGCTGTCCTACGCCTGGTAAGGACCTGCTTCCCGTTAGTCCTTTCCGTGTTCGCAGTAGCATTGATCCAGGGAAGTTCAGTGTTCAGTATATCTGCCAATTCAGAAAGGTATGGCCTTTAAGTTACCTGTATTCTTACCTCTGGAGCCCATGTAAAGCTCATCAACTCAAAGTTGGCAACCATACTGAGTATCAGAATTTGACCCATACATACAGGCTCTTGAGAAACCACAGGTCACTTCAGAAGAACCTGCCTATGCTCAAGTCTTTATATTGCTCAAGCTCCCGGGCATTTTGCACAGCTAAAGACAGGAAAATATGGCAACAGTACAGTACAGTTCTGCCAAGCCAAAACAAAGCCCAACACTTAAAATGATTTGAGGACAGAAAGTCAGGGAGACACCTTTATCAACATGTTCCCTGGGTTCCTCTGCTTTATTGATGCTGAAATATTTTGTAACATCTTGATTTTGAATTTTTCTCGCAGATCATGGGAAGTTCTTATCTGGAAGTGCCAGTTACTTCTAAGTGCCATTTTACTGCAGATATAATTGGACATCAAGCACTGATCTTGGAAGTTATCCAAAACTTAATTATGAAGCTGGATACTTAGATCAGGCTTTGACAGAGAATGAAAATGTTGAATGTGGTTGACAAGCAGGTCTGATCTACCAGCTCTGTTTACAATACTTGAAAGGATTCTCTTTGCAACATAATTTACATGACCAAAGCAGAATTATAGATGCAATAGTGAAGGTCAAATGCCAACCTCCACCATGACCCCATTGCTTTCCACTGGCATGTAAAAAAAGGGCCTCATGTCTATCTTCAAGTAATACTGAAAGTCTCAAGAGTGCAAAGGAAGAGAAAGCACCTCAACCTGAAGGTAACCCAAACTAATTCTAAGGTCAATACCACTGCAGTTCACTCAAGCTCACAGTGAACAGCCATACCAGGTCCAGTGCCTGGTGTCAGTATTTCACTCTTCAGCAGAACAGCGAAAGCTTTGAGCTACACTGGTACTTGCATTGCAAGCAGCCCTAAGTAAAGAGGAGTAAGAGATTTAAAGCTCACCTGCCTTCCCTGAAATGCCATGGTATTTTTGTCCTTAGCCCCAAAAGAAGGTTTGAAAGATGCATCTTCTTCCCACTGCCAAAAGCCTTCATTACTTCCTGAACAACAACAAAACCCAATATTCTTGCCCATCTATTCCAACATT